AAATAGCTCAATGGTAACGTCACTGACTGCAACACTGAGTGATGCGGTTTCCAATCTCAGAGCAGACCTCAGTTCTTTATAGGTTCTAGATATGCCCTGTTAACAGGTGCTAACAAGCAGGAAACCGAGGATTCCTGCCAACTGCCTCGAACTAACTAAACCTCAGTCCCCTTTCTTGACATATTTGCAACACGTAATGACAGTACTGCACTGGATGTGCATGATCCAATTGCTTAGGAACTCCACAACTTTTTCAATCAAATCTGCAAATGGTTTTGATTCGATTGAACGAATAAACAATTACGCTCAAGTGAAGATGGTAGCACTACTACTTATTCAATGTATCTTCTCACAAGCTTGCTCGACCTAGCTTTCCCGCGTCAGGAAGGCGTATCTGCAACCTAGAAGGAACTGATATTCTATATGAGATTCGAACACACGTCACTTAGTGTTGTTGAACCTAAATTGGTCAGTGGTAACGTTTCTGACTGCAGCATTCGGTGACTTGGGTTGGAATCCCAGGTGGAACATCAGTTTCATGGAGTTTGCATATACCCCTAACTGACGAGTCCTAACAAGAACAACACGTAAGTCCAGGATTTCCTGTCGACTGCCTCTATCCAACTGACAACCGCAGCATCTTCTCGGCGTTCCGTATCTGTTAAGCGATTAGCGACTGCATTATTGATACCACTTGATCCCTGTTTTTGGTCTATCCATAGACTAAAACGGAATTACAACCTACCACAATGTTAAAGTCCAACTTCGATAACTGATCTCTTCGGTCGTAGGCTTCTCATGACATATTCAATATATCTGAGATAGGTCTTTTTTTGTCCTTTGAATGTGAATTCTTAAGCAGGAAACTCTAAGACTAAGTTTCATAATTCAAAACTGTGCTGCTCAACGCAAGAGTCAGAGACCTTTTCGCTAAGATATTCAAGTCAGAACTAACCAAATATTGGAACTGGATTATGTACACTAATCGGCTACCGGATGGTAACTGATGCAGCTGCAGATTCCTGCGAATTGGCTCTTAACATTTAACACCAAAACATAGTGAACTTCAGTATCGCATCATTTAACTCAGTCACTACAATGTAAAGCTGATCGACAGCCCTCGAGTAATACCTAAGCACTTAGGACTTGATAGCTACATCACTTATCATCTAGTGACCGATCCATGCAGCGTTGATACGTTCAATCATCACTATCTCTACAATATCATTCAGACCTGGTGCACGTAGGTAGCACCAAAGTTCTGTGGCATATGTTTAAGGGGCAATGAAGATCATTTGTAGGATGTAATCTTACAGCATCCACTTCAATGACTTAGAAAGAAATTAAATAGGCCATAAAATATTGAGCATTACTTGCTGATGTTTGAGCTAAGTGGTAGTACCATTGAGCATATAGGTGCCATGTTATTAACTGTTCATGTATAACGACTTATTTATTCGATCTCTAAAGAAGAGCATATAGCTTAGAGGGTAGGGAAATCACGAGACACGACTTAGAAATGAGATCAATTTTAATTTCTTAAACTATGTTTTAAAATTTTGTGATTGTTTTGATATGACAAAACTTACAAAAATCTATTCAAAACGATATTTGGTAAACGATACTGTTCACCTGTGACACAACTAATAAACAAACTAAAAATGGGGTCATACTCTGTCATATGGCAAAGGATTTACTCATATCAATTTGAAACATGTTCTTCAAATTTTTAACTGGTTAAACCTAGTGAATTTTAATAGTTGGAGATAAAAAGGGCATGTATCACACATCATCAAAAGCACCTGTTGAATGAATAAGCTTACACAGATTTCATTGATTCGACTTCTCTAACCAATGTGTATGTGTGACCGACTGGTAACTAAGTCATTCATAATATGTTACTGAACAAGGATTGGATATCATAACTCAGCGGCCTAGTGGACAACGCTCTGGCATTTGAAATGATCGGCCCTTAGTCCGAGTCTCAGTTGAAACAACATCATGTGCAGGTACATGCAGCTGATGAGTGAGTCCCAAACAGGACGAAACGCACGTCCTGAATTCCACTGCTGGCCGTTATCCATCATCCAGTATAAGTCTTTGACTGTTGGTTTGAGCCATGTGGACCAATGCAGACTAGTCTGTTGAGGTCCGTGGGACAAGAGGAACAAGTGGTTGAAGACTCTAGGTGATCACATGGCTGAGAACCGATATTAGCGGCGCAGATGTATACCTACACACATTATCCTCATCTTAACGACGCGGAACCGAATCTCATCATTTTCTCACTCTTCCTTCCTCTCTTTTAGCATTTTATATTTCTTTTGACTGGATTTTCTTTCTTTCTTCACTTCACTACCTTTTTACTTGATGTATTGATATGAGGTGTGGCAACTCGGACCGTTAGGCAGTAATGCCTAGTCCTATGTTGACTTGGATGATGATGATGATTCAGTATGTTCTAGTAATTTCTATTTGCATCACATCGAATATTGCCGACAAAACAAAGAAATTAACGCTATTAACTATTGCGATGCTAGAGTATATCTCTAATTGAATAAATTTCAACGGGGAATTTCAAGAACACAAAGAAAATATTATCATAACTAGATATCCATGTGCTACTGTCTTATATAAGTTTTAAAATTGAAATTCATCACCAGGTCGTATTGGTTGCTTTCTCTGTGATGAAAGTAATGACACGTTGAATCATTAAATTAGGTGGTTAGAAGCAGAAATACCTAGTGACGATGATAGATGATGGGTTATGCTCTACTTATTGGCGTCGAAAAGTGTGAACCTATAAAATGGCAACATGCCTTCCATTTGTACAGTCATTTCGCTTAAGAAACTAATCGTACAAACTAATAAGTACTTCTTAGCTGACGCAAGATAGCAATTTGCTTATTCGAGGTTTCCAGTACATCTTCACCTGATCTCAGTCAGTGATAAAAGCTGTTGGCGAAAATATCAGTATAATTGAATTGAATCAAGATGGACTCAGCAAATATTTTCACAATCATGCAGCAGGGAATGAGTCACACCATTTATGTAAAGGATAATGATACTACCTTGGTTTCCCAAACCTCCATAGGTGGAGCGGGGCTTGAACCCGTGACCCAATAGTTGAAAGTCAACTCCCTAAACTAATGAGTCACAGATCCACAAATATCAGCATAAAAACAATTTATAGTACTAGAGATTGGTAAATATATGATGCACAAATGCTTAAGCTAATTATAAAAAGATACAGTCAGTCGAACAAACACAAGAAAGGTGAATAAAGAATTTACTGATTTCGGAAACATGACCCAATGAAATTCTAGAAAGGGACGCCTAGTTGATACTGATATAGTTAGTTGAGGCCTGGAGACATCTCAGTCACGTACAATTATGAGCAGTGCCTTAGAACAGAGCACAACACTATTCAAAATAACCTAGGTGATGAAACATCCAAGAAAAAACCGAAAAGCTTCGAAAACATCAGAAAATTATCATCAACGTTCTAAGCTACAAATCTTCTCTTACTACTGTTCAAAATGTCTCTGTCCTTTAATACCTGTCTTAATGATGTTCGCATGTTAAGCATGCAGATACAATGGTGCCTAGCAAAAACTTATTCAGCACTACTTGAACAGATTTCAGTATTAATCCCTTAGATTTCATTCTGAATAAGATACGAATAGTTCAGTGAAAAATATGTCTATGTTTTAAGCTTAACAGGATGAGTAGTTACAAAGTACAACGTAGATAAAATATTCAGCGTTTTATGAAGAACAAAGTAGACGGATGGTTTCGGAAAAATTTAATCGACTCAAAACCCATATTATCCCATATTTACATGATAATCAGCTTCAATGAAGAGTCCTATACGAAATTATACGGTTCAGATTAACAATCAGCAACTCTGTTTATCATGATAATATAATGATGATAATCATCACTATGAGGCTTTATCGGTACAGATATCAAAGGGTAAGCAGAAGAATATTATGCAAACATATAGACTCATCAGTGTTTCAATATCTATAAAGTTACCGCTTAACTAATGCAGCTTCAACTGGTATAAATCAATCACTTAAAAATAAACTATATTTTACTAAATGCTTCGTGAAATCCACTGACGGATACAAACTCTTCAGCTACATGACACTGTCGCACAATAAAACTCGACCACGACATTGTAGTCTACTTGGTGGATTTCAGGGGAATCAATATCGATATCAATAAACAACAAAACATTACCACACTTGCATTAATGTATTATGCTCTGAACCCCAATAACTTTATGAGGGTTTATACTACTAAGCAGATTACCATGGAGAAATTAAATGGAGAGGCGCTTAAACCAAGGATCCATTGCTTAAAATGTTGGATGCTTAAGCCAATAAGCCAGATTGTCAAGTACAACTCTGTGACAAGGTGTATATAATCAATATACTTCTTCTGCACAGATCTCTAAACTAACGCCCAACATCAGACAGAGCAAAAATTACATTTAACTGTTGATAGCCACTAGTTAAGCCGATTCTGACTAACCACAAGAGGAAGTAAGCTATTTAGAATGATAAACGTACATTACTGTATACTGCTCATTAGTGATATGCTTCCAGATGGATATCAGTGAGGTTCTAATGAGAAACCGTGACCTGTGGCGTCAACCAGTCGGAAGGGAAGCGGATGCCAAATGAAGACCTTAGGTGACAGTCGTGCTATGTCATGAATTGACAGAAGTTGGAAATTGTGAACCACTAGAAACCGACCCAGTGACTAAATGGTTAACGCGTTCGCCATGAAACCTGAAGGTCCTCAATTCCACCCCTAGCCGGGTCGTGGGTGCGTACTCCTGAGGAGTTCCATACTAGGACGAAACAGCTGTTCAGTGCTCCCAAGTTTTCAATGGTTTCCTAACTGATGTCAGTCCATGATGAATACTACCAATAAACATATTTCTCATTAAAGCTAACTATTTCCAATTCATATAAAAGTATTCAACTTACATCAGGGAGAAATGGAGCTTCTTCAAGACCAGCCTCTAAACGTACCCAATTTATACCAGAAAACCAACTATGATGTTTAACACCATCAGGACCAGATTCATCACAACCAAGTCGACAACGAGGATCTTTTTGTAAAAGCTTTGATGACAAAAGTACAGAAAAAAACATATAGTTAGTGAAAAGTTCTTTCAGAGTATTAGGTCATAGAAAAACGCAGAATATACAAAATTGTGTTTGGAAACCACAAAGAAGTATGCATACTAGTCTATGATTCATATTTTTTTTAAACATCAGATTTCGAGAATTTGTATTTGCTTGTATTATTGCTCTGTCTGTTATCTTTATTCCACTCATTCTTATTTGTCTTCGCATTGAGTGCAGCAGTATGAATTGTGCAGTTGTGGTTCCTTGATTTCATTCATTGATTTTCAGCCAGTTCGTCATGGGTTTGAATACCAAACTCCACTAACTGAGGTTTTGTAGTGTCATCAGCCTCTAGACGATAGGTGTAACTAACAGCATACAGCATAAACTAGAACATGCTTACACATCTTCGATATGAATGAGTAAAGCTTCTGTGTAACATACTTCGTAGATTATCATTCTGACCATCTTAAATAGCCGTAGTGTGATAAACTAATTTGATACTAGGTGATGACTAAAGGTGAAATAGAAATTTGGACCGCGGCGGAAATCGAACCAGAGACCACCAACTATCCATACCAGTCGGCCAAATTACGGCTATCTCAGATAGTCAAAGTGATAATCAATATGATGCTCCGTCTCTCTAGCTCAGTTAGATTGAGATTGGGATGAGAAGTCCTGACTGGGCAGCCAGCGTGAATACGATCAAACGGTAGTTACGCGTCACGAATTCACACAGTAGTCAGGGTAAAACCCTTAGTGACTGAAATGAAACTAAAGTCTGTTCAGCAGTCAGGCCGTATAGCTCAGTTGGTAGAGCAATGGACCGGAAACCCAGTGGTCGCTGGTTCGAATCTGGTCGCGATGCAAATTTTCGTTTCACCTTGAATCATCACTATCAATACTTCATAAAGCTGCTATAATTTCTTTATGTTTTACGATTTTATTATAACTGTGAACTTCAATATTGATGGAATAAAATTTTCTCTGGTTTTTAACCATTTTTATACAGATGAGCATGGAAACTCTTGCTTTCTGGCTTCGTACCAATGAAGCCAAAAGGCAGCAAAATTAAATGCCTAGCATCCCCAGTAAGATCAATATGCTCAGAGGAGTGTGCGGAGAAAGGACTACTAGGTATCCATGATATTCTGAGTGGAAATGGATATCCTGAAAAGTTCATCATAAAGTAAATATGGCTTACATTAATCCCAAACGTTAATTAGTGACAGCCAAGACGAAATCTCTGTTTCTGTATCTACAATTCCGCAGAGACACTAAGTTACAACGCCCAACAAGAGCAATAGATAGAACGTCTTACTGATGTCATCTTTGCTGACCAATACTCAATACGAGGTTAAAGGACACCCTACCTAATATTAGCTTCTCATCTTACAAATATCAATTTAACTGTTCCTGTGGAACAAGTTACATACGGTGTACGATTAGACAGGTGTTTCTTTGGAAAGAAGAATATTTTTCATCTTGGCTTGGAAAGAGTGAAGTCAGAGCGATATAATGTTTCATCTCAGACCATCTGGTCGACACACAGCACCTCAAAGATGTGAATATAGCTTTCACTGCCATACATCTCGCTACAAAAACAGTGTAGCTCACCCACGCCTTCCCTATATATCTTAAGCTGTAGAAATAAGGCTGACCAAACCTGAAACTCTGCATTCAGAAGAAGAATACTTCGGTGTTACTTCTCATTTGAACCTCCCTAAACTAAAGGCTGGTCTTCTCATCTTTGGTTGTTGCTTTTCCCATTCTTTTTTCTTTCATCATCGCATTCTTTATACGTACACAAGTCATCTCAATACTAACAAAGTGAAAAATATAAAAAATATTGATCTGCTTGGAATCCCTAATTCATATCCCATTTTGCAGATCTGTATACCAAACAATTGACCTGCTGCTATGCTGAACACCTAGCCGATGAATCCCAAAGAGGACGAAACGCGCTTCATGGATTCCACTGTTAGCCGTCACAAAAAAAAAAACTATAATTCCATATTGTAACTGTAAAACCTGATGAGAATTTATTGAAAAGAATATCCTTCGTTCAAAGTGTCTTCTCATAAATAAATAATTCTATGTAAAGTTAAACAAAGAAAAATGTACACTGACTGGTCACTGGGGAGCAATTCACTTTTATGTTGTATAGTCCTAAGTGCTGACCGAATTTTGTAGATCATTTTTCAATACGGCCACCATCGCGGTGCGCTCTGATAGATTTTAGTAGGTAGGAGGCAATAATCAGTAAGTCCTGCTCGACCTAGTTTTTCTGCCTGTTGGTACTCGTCAGTATGACGTATCTTCAGTCTCGAGAGGACTAGTGTACTATCTGAGTTTCGAAACAGTGTGATCGAGAGATGGAATCAGAGACGCTACCACTGGGTGGTGTGGATCTAAATCTCAGAGAGTACATGTTTCTTCGAGGTGATGAATGACAGCAAGCATGAAATTAAGATCCAGGATTTCCTGCCGATTCCCTCTAACCAACTAACAAAAAAATGTGGAAAATAATGTAAGCTAAAAAAACACAGGAAACAACAGAATGTGTCCACACATATAGAAAAATTAAACTACTTACAGCTTGACAAAATCGTTTCGAACTATCAGAAAATTTACTATTATACTCTTCAGTATCTTCACAAACACGACGATCAACTTCTTCACGTCGAACTCGTTCTTTACGTCTACGGAATGGTGCTTGTCCCATTATCATTTCATAGACAATACATCCCAAGCCAAACCAATCAGGACTGAATGTATAACGTGTATTCATTACTACTTCAGGAGCTGTAAAATTAAATAAAAATGTTTGTCTTCTTAAAAGCTAATTAAAAGATTAGAATTAATCATTATTCAAAAGTATATGAATAAAAACCAACATTGATAGTTGAAACATTTTATGGTTAGACTTTAGGGTATATTTCTAAGAATTCACACGCTAATCGCAAACACCTTCATTCATTATAAATAAGTTATGTCATTTAGTTAAATGAAAATGAGATGTTACACCATGTGAATGTATAACAGTTTACATGTATCAAGCCTACAATAAGTATGAAGTATATTTATTCCTTTTTTTATTTATTATTTCATAAGTGAACTGCTTGAGCGGAAGTAACATTGAGACGGTGTGTTAATATATTGCCAGTCGAGTATTCATAAAGATAGAATCAGTAGGCTGCAAAAAAAGTGAACCAATCAACACCCTATACAAAGAATACCTGTGATCATTTTGGTCGATTAAAGCCATAGAACAATGGTGACTTTCTAATATGTTCTGTCATATAAGGTTAGCGAATATACTGGCGATATCTATTGATTACTTTACCACTCGAATGCCCCCGTATGGATAATGATGTGATGAGCTTACTTATCCTCTAGAAATCCTCTCATACAATCATATGTACTTAGCCTCAATCACTCATTTCCCGTTGCGAAAGGATGATTCCAAAAGGTGAAGCAGCAAAATCAAATGTTCTGCACTTATCACCAGATATGAAAGGATTCACCTAGAAGAATTGTCAAAGCCTGATTGTAAATTACTGGTGACTATGAGCTTCAGAAAAAAGAATGAACAGATGGCGTAATAACCTATAATGATCACCAGAAATCACCTGATATCGCTCCATCACCTTGTGTACTGAAATTCACATCAAAAGTCTGAGGACTGATCATCTAAGACAAACACAAGCTTCAGTTTGTGCGTCAGGGTAGTATACCAGGCCTCATACAAATCATACAGCAACATCAGTATGAAATCTTTAAAGGATTCACTAAATCTCGCTAACAACCAAACTTAATCTATGATATAGATTTTATAATATCACTTGTCATTACATTGTTGTTGTTATTTGTACATATAAACTGTATTTTTTGGTCCTTATCGTTTTTACCACATTTATGTTTTTGCGTACTTGAATTCCACTAGGCTGCTTAGCTATGACTGAAATCCTCGTCTACATATACCACTTTGAGTTGCTAAGTAGTTGGTTTCACAAAGCTATCCTCCAGTAAATGCAATACAGATATCCCCAAACCATGAGTAACGCCTAAGCTTGCTGCATCTTGATGCAGACAAGACAGTAAATACGTTCAACTAACACTCCAGAAAGGTTCACTATCGAAATATCTTTGGTGAAACTATTTCCATTATGAAACTATATACCTTATACTCTCAACTTAGAAGTCCATATTATATGCGTGAACTCAAGCTGAACTACGTACATAATCTAATTACAAAAATGCCTGATCAAGATGATGCTTATCGAGTGAAAAGTTCAGTAGAATTACCATTTAATGAATGAGGGTTTCAAGAAGGTGTAGTTAAGTGTTTACAAACACGAAGGGGCATAATATCATATCTACAATAAATATCGATGGCCTAAGAAATATTACACATTCTAGAATAACCTTGAGTGGATAACTAACCAATGTGTTTTGATAAATGTTGAATATCAGAATTCTACTATACATTAAGATCATTTGGCATCAGCCAAAAAGTAACATGCATTAAACATAATTCAGGTAAGCATTACGTAAAGTAGTTAAAAGAGAACCACCGCTCTTCTCAGTCATTAGAACTTTATATTGCATAATGCAAAAGATATAGGAGAAGAAAACAGTGTTATATGGATTACATATGCATTAGGTTCTAAATGATTCATTTCCACAGAGATTTAAATCGCCTACAGCACACCTGTAGTCAACAATTGAACACTGAGTAGAGCTACTATGTCATGTCTAAGGCTATAAGACATGGCCGTTGAAATTAGAAGACATAAAGCGGTTATATGATTTTGATCATGGGTATAATTCCTCGCATCTGGTGGAATCACTGTGTGAGCAGAAATGAGGTCTGGTGAAAGGCATTAGACAAGATAGGCAAGTCAATTGGTGAGATTGTGAACCTTCGTCAACTGAGATGCCTTCGACATATGTTGAGCATCCCGATTTACCGCCTCCTTCAAAGTCCCATTGCTGGTGAGGGGAGTCGGATTAGGTTGGAAGGGGGTTCAGGGTGGCCAGACCAAGACGTGGCAGTAGTCCATGAAGTCTATGACTCTTGGCCTTAGCCATGTAGAGAACTGCAGGTCTCCTCGCTGGGGTCCCCGAGACGACAGGAATCAGTAGTTTAGAACTTTTGGTGGACTCCCTGGAAACCGGTCACAATGCTCCAGATGCATACATCCCCTAACGTCTTCTAAAGCATGAATATTGGCACTTACCATTATCTTAAAATTGTTTATTCTCTTATACAACTTTGTTGACTTTGATATCACCCTTTTTCTATCCACCCATTCTTTGTATATCATTGTGAAGTGTGGCAACTTGCGCTGATGCACTTCTGTGCGAGGTTCTATATTTATAGATTCTGTCTCTTAGTCATGTTTAAAGTCATTAAGGTAACAGTAAATAAATCAACTTGGTGATGAAATACGTCAAACACAGAGAATAAACAGCGCTGAATAAGTAAGTAAAAATGAATATATGTAGACTTTATATGTATGTATAAGTATGGGAATTCAGGTGAACGTAGAAAAGACAGAGGTGGTGAAGATACCCAACTAACAACAGCACCAACAACAAGCACCAATAACCGTTAACGGGAGAAATCTAAAAGAAGTTGTCTCGTTCACCTACTCAGGAAACATCCTCTCAACTACACGCGGCGGCATAGATGAAAATATCAAAGCCAGGATCGGAAAAGCAAGACAGGCCTTCATCAATCTGAAATCAGTGTGGAGATCCACTCCACTATACTACACCCAGCATAAAGCGTGAACAAGATCCGGATTATCAACACTAATGTCAGTCAAGTCAGTGCATCTGTGTGATGGTTCAGAAACTTGGCGCGTTGCGAAAAGCATTTCCAACAAACTACAGACATTCATCAACAGTTGCCTACGCTCACTAGATACTGAAGATCAGATCAGATGGCCAGAAAGCAACTCTGGCTGGCAGTGAACCAACCAAGAACCTATCACCCAAAGTGTATACAGAAACATCACGCACCAGGCACTCGAGTGGAATCTAAGGGAGAAACGACGAGTTGGGCGTCCGAGCCGATGGTGACATGGTGGAGATGGTGTGAGGAAGAAATGAAAGCTTATGGGCAGTCGTGGACCCGGGTTAAAAAGACTGCGGTGAACAAAGTGCTACTGGAGCCTTATATTCCACTAGGAACCCAAGGGACAAATAATAATAATCTAGCATATCAAAATATATACAGTTTTACTGAAAGAAAACAGAATATCAGTCAGTGGTTAAGACGGAGAGAAACAGTCATGAAATAAAGGTCAATCATAATGGTTAATTCAAGTAGGGTCAATAAATAGTCTCAATTATACATATAACCTACTTGAAGTTTCTCGAACAAAGATAACGAAGAGCAGCAATCAAAATACTGAAGGTCTGATTCTTAGGTCTCTCAATATTTTACGTAATTCATAAGCAAAATATTGTGAGTTAAGCTGAATTAGTTAGAAACAACCGGTATAAACAGAAGATGATCCAAATGAAAAAAGTGAAGGAATGAACATCTAACGTTGATGAAGGATGATATAATCAAGTAACAGTTAACAAGTGTTATGAAGAAAGCTACAGTCAACAAAAAAGCCTATATTCATTCACCTCAGCTTCACAGGTGATGATAGTGCAGGAAGTATTAGCAAACGACTGAATACATTACTGGCTAGAACTTTCCATGTACCAAACAATATACTTTTTAGTACAGTTGAAAGTCCAACTCTGTATATCACTTTACGTGCACCTACCGAAGCAGATACATTGAAAGAACAGAAAGGAGAGTATATCTAAGATTTTCTGAACACATTCTGAAAAGTTTACGACTAGGGGAAAGTAACACTTTGAATAGTACAACCAATTGGGATCTGCTGGACACTAGACAACAAGCAGAAGTCTTCAATCCCTTCATGATAATAAACAAACAAACGAACAAGCTAAATCCTGTTAAAGTTTGTTGAAACCATAACCCTTAAAGGCCTCAAACCTGACTCGTGTGTTCAAAAGGAAGCTATATTCAGCCTCTGTCTACCTTGATAAACCGACTTGGCTGTTATTTGATTACATCATCATCATCTATTAACCTTAGATGTTCATCCTTTCACTCTTATTTATTAGAATTATCGTTTGTTCATATCGAATGTTTTTAACTAACTGAGCTTAACTCATAATATTTTGCCTATTTATCGTATGAACGATTCACATAATCTGATGGTGTCAAGTCCCTCAATATTTTGATTTCTACTCTTTTCGTTATCTTTGTTCGAGAAACTTCAAGTAGGTTATATGTATAATTGAGACTGTTTATTGACCCTCCTTGAATTAATCATTATGATTGACCTTTATTTCATGACTATTTCTCTCTATCCTAACCACTGACTGATATTCTGTTTTCTTTCAGTAAAACTGTATATATTTCGATATGCTAGAGGTCTTAGACAGTTGAGACAATATGCCACCGAAATAAAGTGGATCTATTTTCTCCTGCTGTTCCACTTTTGTTCTTGCTCTTTTCAAATTCACGAGTAACCATCCACTACTGTTTGTTGTGAAAAACAAACTGATGTCATTTGAAAGAATCACTGACAAACTGAAGAAAACTGTACCTTATTATCAAAAGACAACAGAATTCAGAAAGCTGGCTTTCCTAGACTGCAAAATGATACGAAACGATGATGGAACACTTGACATTAATGTCTATCAAAAAGATAAACATTCTAACAAGTGCCTAGACTTCGATTCGGCTCATCCATTGGAAACTAAGTTAAACGTTGCCAAAAATCTGTTGACGAGATCACAAAAGATACCAAATAAAGTGGAATCTCAGCAAGCAGATAGGCAACTTGTTCGGGAAGTCTTAAAACAGAATAACTATCCGAAAAAACTATTAAAAAGGATGGAAAAAAGTTTATCGAATAAAGATACGGAAAAGCCAAGTCATAAGGATTGGATAAGTACTGTAGTACTTCCTTATCGAACATCCACATCACAGGAAATATGACGTATCCTTAATAGTTACATCAGAGTATTCCTTAAGGTGACGAACACATTACACTCACGCCTATGTAAATTAAAAGATCCGATTCCTCATTAGGAACAACAAAACTGTGTTTATAAGGTAAACTGTAGTGAATGCGATGCCACATACATTGGAGAGACATCACGTCAAGTATTAACATGTCTAGCCGAATACGGTCAAAGATCCAGGAAACCACCAAAAAATTCCTAGGATCTAGAAAAAATTGAAAAAAATCCTGCCATCGCAGTTCATCCCCTATATTCAGGTCATAAAATATCATTCGAACAGACGAAAGTCCTGCAAAAGGGTTTTCTTTCTCACAAAAATCGGATCATTGCAGAAGCTTTACACATCTGTTCGTATCCTTCTTCGGTCAGCTGAGAAGATGGGTTAGACATCCCACTAATATGGCAAACACTAATGACTCGCATACGCAGTTGTGAATAATATATGAAGAGAAGGCAAAACACAGTTTCATTCCACATGATTTATTCCGAATTTACTCTTACTTGAATAGTTTCCGGTATTATTTTGCTTAATCGTCTTAACCACGTCAAAAAATATTGGTTATATTTTAACAACTTATCTATTCCTATTACACAACACTCTACTGATCTACTATTTTCATCGATTCTATGCTCCTTTCCGAGTTATATACAATCTATGAACTATTTTATACATAACATAATCCATTGTGTTATCACTCATACTTCAAGTGTACCTTCAAGTACCTTTATCGTTATCATCATTATTATTTATTTTTGAGATGAATGGGGATTTTTAATTTAGAAGTAGTATTCAACCAGTCGTAAGTGAAGCAGATGCCAACTGAAGACCTTGGGTGATAGTCGCGTTATCTCGTGAATTGACAGAAGTTGGAAATTGTGAACCACTGGAAACCGACCCAGTGGCTAAATGGTTAACGCGTTCGCCGTGAAACCTGAAGGTCCTGAATTCGACCCCTAGCCGGGTCGTCGGTGAGTACTGCTGAGGAGTCCCATACTAGGACGAAACAGTTGGCCAGTGCTCCCAGATCTTCAATGGTCCCCCAACTGACGTCAGTTCACGATGAATACTACTTCTATATTATTTATTTATTATATATTGTCTGATGTTCAAACATTCATCTTTCCAAACTAGTAATCTATTCTTTCTCACCCTTGATGTCCCACCACCCCATTGCACTTTTCAAAGACGAACTAAAAAATTTCCCCACCCTGTTTTTGTTCCACCTTACTCGCACAACTGAAAAAAAGTCTCTCGGACCGATTTGCTTATTCACTCACCTGTATTACATCGATCTTCGCTCTATATCACGATGTAATTGGATGATTGTAAAGGTCACCACCTTCTATACCAAAACTTGAATATTAACCTGAAAACTTAATGTCAGATTTATACTCTTGAAAAGGATCTTCCTAGCAAGATCAGAATGTTGAGGAATAATACAAAATATTTCAATGATGGTTCGTGGTTAGTAGTGGAATCCAGGATGCACATTTCGTCCTATTTGGGACTCGTCAGCTGGATGTACCTGATTCCTAGTGAGTGATGTTGTTCGCACCGGGATTCAGACTAGGGAGCGATCGCTTCAAACGCCAGTGCGTTATCCACTACACCACCGAGCCACGACAGCCGACGGGTATAGTTTTAGTATAATTGTTTTCATACCCGTCGCACAAGAAGTGGCTATCGTGACCCGGTGGTGTAGTGGATAACGCAATGGCGTTTGAAGCGATCGCTTCCGAGTCCGAATCACAGTGGGAACAACATCATTCACTGGGGAGCAGGTAAATCCAGTTGACGAGTCCCAAATAGGACGAAATGTGCATCCTGGATTCTACTGCTAGCCACGATAAATCATTAACATAATTAGAAGGCAGGCAATATCGAGGCATCCGCGCAGGAGCCCATATGCCAATAGGGACCGATCAATTCGGTCCAATCAACGACGGTATCATATAAAAAAACAATTATACAAAATATTTGTTTATTTTGTTACTTGTTCTAATATACTACGCCGGGATTACACAAGTAAAAATACACCTTATACAAAGATAATTAACTGATCAATAAGCAAAAAACAAATATGCTGAGTAACTACGTAAATCAATGAATCAACTAAAATTCAGTTGATAAATGACAACACATTCCATCTATGCTTGGAATCATACCATTTTGTAACTTCGACTAGCCAAAAAGTAGACGTTACAATAATTAAATGAATGTAATTCCCATACTAACGTTTACCAATAATTGATATTCGTCTTTTGATAGTAATTGAACTAGACAATCATGAATTGATTGCTTTCACTAAGTCAAGCACACTAGAAGTTAAGAGGTAGTGGTGCTAAAACTAAGAGTTTCAAGTGATCTCAGGCTTAATTTATTTCACAGGCACATTGAAAATTGACATAAACAACACAAATGGGTAAAAAACAAAGATAAAGGCTTTTTGAAGGTTGAATTTGAAGAAAATAAAAACGAGTGAAATTCACTCCGTCACCATATGTATATCTATTTAGTAGGTAATGCACTATACCTACAATGCAAGGATTAATGATCTTAACTGACTATAAACGCTGGAAGATGGAGCTGAGTTCAAAACTATGACTCACTGGTTGAAAGTTAAATGCTTGGAACAATAAGCGACAGTTTCTGGGAGAAAGTTTTCAAACAGTTTTTAATTCAGTAGATGCCTAGAATACCATTTGATTGCTAGTAATTAGCGTGAGGCTTAGTTGTGGGTAAGTATTTCGATGAAAGGAGTGAGTACACTTATCTATGAAGCATAGAAAGTTCATTGTGATTCATTCTTGTAATCAGTAAACAAAAAAAACTATCTGGAGTCCTATCTTGTGATTTCATTGGTTGAAATAGGCAGTAGTTTAATCCCACAGTAATAACATCTGAATATATCAATCCTATATGGGTTTTTTTGTTTTGTTTTAAAAAGCCTAGAAAACGTAATCAGCATTTTTTAAAAAGAGGATCTAAACTGATGAAGTATGATGGAAATAAGAATTATAGCTTACTTAGCATGTGTCACACTTGTGATTATCACTCGATTCACACGGCTAACTTTCAAGCATAATTTTCTATCACAAAATGTATTCAACTGAAAGAATATACAAAATCAATGAATATTGAATAAATTGTATACTTACCCATATAACCAGCTGTTCCCACTCTTCCCTTAGCTGTACCTCCAGGTTCAATGTATACAGCTAATCCAAGATCCGATATTCTAACATGTCCTGTAAAATATACATAACAAATTAAAACCATAGATTATATACAAAAGTTTAAACAGTCAAAATTTAATTGCATTGTACACTAGGATACTAATTATGCTAGTGTATTGTGAGTAAATAATAAGTGTAGTTATTCAGTTTGATGAAATCGTCAATCAGTCAGTTAGTCAGTTGAATAAATGTGCAAAGGAAATGAAAATTCCTATACAATAAATACTCTTTTCAATGTCTATTCGGGAACATCAGGTGCCAGGTCCTCAAGTGGAACCCAAATGGGAAACGACGAGTTGGGAGGCCGAGCTGATGGTGACATGGAGGAGATCGTGTGAGGAAGAAATGAAAGCCAGGTTGAAAAAACTGCAGAGAACAGAGTGAAATGGTGACGTGCTACTGAAGCCCTATGTTCCACTAGGAACCCAACAGACAAATAATAATATTATGTTATTAGACTAAATAAATTTCCAGGACTTTAGCTCTTCAATTGGCATCAATCTACATTCAGCCTTTGTAAATAACAAAAGAAACTAACCCATCCTATATTAGGTTAGTATATTTGATATAGCACACAGTGATACTGTATTAATTACTGAATAACGTTTCCAGAACAATTTATTTCTCATCATTCATATCCAAGTAATCACACAAATTTCTTCATTCTGTATAGTTCTACCACTTTTTCATTCTTTGATTTGATTCGAAATATTCATACTTCGGATGAATAATAAACAAAAAGTAAAGATTACTAGTATGCTTGCAAATTTCATCCTATTCACAGTGGCAGAGCCAACAGACAAGGTTAAAGCACCAATAGAACATGTCAGCAAACTGTGTCTAAAAGAAGAATTGTAATGCAACTGTCAAAAAACTATCTACTATCAGAAATGAAACCGAAAAACTGGAACGTAGGATGATGAAGGCATTGGACAGCAGACACTATGAAATCCTGCTTTCAATAAATCCAAAAATGCTCAGATCAAAAAAGTTCAACAACTTGATGGAAGAAAAGAATCTTACTGAAAGTAAGGAAACTCCCATTAAGAATCTACCAACTATCGACAGAACAAAGTGAATGATCAACCTCTCAACTACAGTGTTAAGCTCAAATGAAGTGAAAAGGTGAATCTTCAACAAACCAGTACGTCAACTGAAACCCGAAGATTTCATTCATACCACAGGAGTAGCATTAAACTCATTACGTAGAACACTGTTGAACAAGTCAGAATTCAAAGTCAACTAGCACTCAAATAGAAGAAGGTGAAATAAAATTAATTTAACACAACCGGAAATATCAGGTCTAAAGAATCTAAAAAGTGACAACAGCACAGCGATCGCCACAGCTGATAACGGTGATACAACAGTAGTTATAAATCGTTTACTCTAATGCCTAAAACTAACAACCATAGCACAATGTATGCAACTATTAAATTACACAAGCCAGGTTATTCCATTACACCGGTGGTTGACTTTAGAAACACCCTAACACATATGAACTGTCAAAATATTTAACGATGCTACTACGCACAATTACAAACCACTCAAGCTGTCGACTAACCAATTCACATGAATCGAATTAAAGGTTACATACTATTCAAGTAATGAGAAGAACGATTGCTTTTGTTGTCACAAGCTTATATCCTACTGCAACAATCAGTATGGCTCCAGAAGCTGTCAGAAGAAAAATTTACAATCATTCGACCTCACTCAGAAAACTATCGTACCAACTGAAAACATCATGTTTCCAGTTCACTTAGGTCTCAGATCTACACTTCTCAAATTCAAAGATACAATATACAAAAACAAACGGAAGAAGTAGCATTGGGATCACCAATATCTCGAGTCGTATCACATATTCATATGGATAATCGACAATGTATAGTTCCTAAGACATTCTTCCTTACTCCAAAAGTTTGGTGGAAATATATACATGACACATTTACTATGTTCAAATTCAATCTCCCGAGTTAAAAGATGAACAGGGAGAATTAGCTATATTGGACTGTAAATAAAACGATGGCAAGATGGTGATTTTGACACAAGTGGCTACAGAAAACCGACACATTCTGATAAAAATCTAGACTTTTTCTCAGCTCACCCCACATCAGTAACGGTAGATCTAGTTCAATCTTTAAGCAATCGAGCTAGGAGTGAGTTTATCCAGAAAGTCGAACAATTTAAATACAGGAATGAAACACATAACAGTAGCTTTAATCCTCAGTACATATCCTCTTCAATTTATTCAGGATTACACAAGGAATTGTAAGAAAAAGAAAATTACTGATGTGAACAAGGATTGCAGCATGAACAAAAAGGTATTCAAAGCCTCTTTAGTGTTGCCACACAAGGGAAGGAAGTCAGAAACCCTACATAGGATTCACAATAAAGCTCAGATTAGGGTGCCATTCAAGTCTACAAATTCATTCAGAGGTAAGCTTTGTGGGTTTAAGGATGCTATTGACCTAACAAGACAAAATTCAATTCACCAAATGCCTTAGAATGACTGTGAGATCAAATACATGGGTCAAACTAACCGATCGGGATCAGTCAGGTCAGCAGAACTTAGGAATCTAATTAAATTTAGATTGATAGACCCTTCTAAAATAAGGAATCTAGGGGAGAATTCAGTCATAGCCATGTATTTATTAACACAAAACCACGCAGTAAGGTGAGATAGCGTAAGAGTCCTAAAGAAAGTGAAGCTACAACTGATTCACTTAAGCCCTCGACTTTCAAGCAATATGTTCTGTGTTCGGATCCTACCTTACTTACTTCGACCTAGTGGACTAATTAGTACCATAGGCCGTAACGCACTATAGCTAAGTAAAAAAGCCTGTACCAGAAACATGACCTGCATTAAGTTTGTGCGTTCACTTATGAAGTCATTTTCTTATAGCATTTCGATCCATTACAACACTATATGGAGCACTGATATTCTTTAAGATATAACAGACAGATATACACAAGATACAACCTGAAAGATTTTCACAGCTATCCAGGTTGCTATATATCACATTAACACATCGTAGGAAAAGACTACAAGTGAAAAAGCAAAGGACTGAAAACAATAATATCAGCAGTTGTGGGGAGGTAAAAGGTAAGAAAAAACGAAAGCAAATAAAACAAAATACATCATAGTTGGATTTTTAAGACATAGATGGACAGACAAAATCAACGCAGAACCTCCTACACAAGTCCATCAACTTCAGTTGCCACACCTCATAGTAGCACACAAAGAACAGGTGGATATAAAAAGAGTGATATCAATGTAGACAAAACAGTGTGGGAGAATAAACAATTTAAAGATAAGGGTTAGTGCAAATATTCAAGCTTAGAAAACGTAACGGAGTGAATACATCTGCGCCATTGTGACCGATTTTCAGACATATCACCTAGAGTCCCAGACCACTGATTTCATACCGTCTCGAGGAACCCAACCAGGTAGTTCACATCTCCCAACACGGCTGAGACAAACAATCGTAGACTTCATCGACTGGTGCCACATATTGATCTGTCTACTCTGAACTCTCTTCGAATCTAATCCAACTTCCCCCAGCGTGGCACGTCGAGGTGGTCGGTGGCTGGGTATGGGCAACAGATGTCCAAGGCATCTCTCAGTCGATGAAGGTTCACAATCTCATCAGTTAACTTGCCTGTCACGCCTAGTAACTTCGTCTGATCTCAATACCCCTCACACGGTGATCCCACCAAACGCGAGCAATTCTATGAAGACGCCTTTGATCAAAATCACTTTGTGTCTTCTACTTTTAATAACCATATCTCACAGCCGTACAACATGACAGAACGGAGTGCAGTGCAGTATACTTGTCTTTTAATAGGTAGTCGAATACCCCGACAGTCGGTGACGCAAGCTGGCAAGTGCCAAACGAACCTTCTGCATTCCAGCTGAGATTTCGTCAGCAACCAGCCAGTCGGAGCTGATGCAACTTCCCAAGTAAGTGAAGTGATCAACACCTTCTACAACTTCACTCCTTATGGTGTACATGATTCTAAATTCAATCTCCAGACACCAAAAAAATACAGATTTTAGTCACCCAGTAAGTCAACACTAATCAGCAAGCTTATTACTTTCCTAGAAAACGTATACCAACATTGAGATATTTAATTTTTTTGACCGAATAACCCTTATCTTTGTTTCGGTCAAAAGCAGCTGAGAGCAGTAAAAAAGATGTAGGAAGAATGAGAAAATGCTGAATTCAGTATAGCGATTAAGAAGAACACCAGGTGCAGATACATCTGTGTTATTGACATCGATTCTGAGCCATATCACCTAGAGTCTCCAACTCCTGGTTTACGCTGTCACGTGGACCATAAACGGGCTAGTCAGAATCTTTCAACACGGCTCAAACGAACAGTAAAAGACTTCATACTGTGATGACATGCTTTAGTCTGGTCGGCCTCAGCCTTTTTCCATAGTCATGTGGATCAAAGGATTCATCTGGTTTACTGAAAAAGAAACAAGTGTGACAACTTTCACCAACTTAACCTGCTCTTCCACAGCACTTTCTAATTGATAACTTTCAATACAATTTTACTAGAAACTGAAAGATACAAAACCCAATGTTACTTTCTTTTCATTTTTATTCACGTGTATAACTAGCTTCATCTATTACTCGTTGAATCACCTTTGTCATCGAAGCGAATCGAACCGAAATGCACTCAGCTACCTTGTACACACTCGTTCAGAAGGCAATGAACCACATCTATTGTGTTAGAGCTAATGATACTACCTGGGTGCCCAAAAATTCGTAGACGGAGTGGGGTTCAAATTCATGACCGATTGGTAGAAAGTCAGCTCTACTATTTTCCATACAAATATCCATTTACGCAGACACCTTTACATACACATACAACTGCAATGTCACACCATATTCACTTTATCTGCACTTGGTCATTTACATTGAATAACAACACTTGAAGCTGAGAATGAGACGAATTACACATGTTAGCTAAAATCCATCGTGAAAACCTGTCAATTAGAATAACAACACTTCGGATGAAAACTGAATGACTAGATGAGGATATGATGCCAGTTCATCAAGTAAGTGATCATTGATTTTAGTCAAGTAAGGCTATTTGACTGGAGTTCCCAAAATAAAACTGAGAATGAACAGTTGAGAACTTGCAGTAGCACAGTGGTACAGGTGTATTTACTTCTTAAAATTCTGAATATCATATTAACGCATAGTTATGTATCTTCTCTCATCCTATGTCGTTCTTGCTCAATTTAATATTCTCTCTCTCTCTCTCTCTCTCTCTCTCTGTTATATATATATATATATATATATATATATATATATATATATATATATATATATATATATATATTGTATTTCTGTACTGTTCAAGAATGTGACGGATTGAACCAATAAATACACTTTTATCTAAAATTTTACGTTGTTCTATCTACCTGATGAAAAGGATTCCCTTAACATCTGAATTTTACAGTAGACTATTGATCTAGTCACTCTGTTATGCGCGTGCACTTATTCTGATAATAAAATGTGTAATTATGAGGCCTAAGCAAAAGAGATTTTCTCTATTTTCAACCATCTGTTTTCTTAATTCACTTCCGACAAAGGATGAAAATCATAAGTTTACATCTTTTCAGTAACACTATAAAATTTATTCGCCTTGTTGTCTGTCTTCCACTTTCATGAGACGCTTTTTATTAAAACTTTTAAGTTCCAATAAACTAACTTCGTTGAAACATTTAACAGCTCATATAACAGCAAAGAAAATAAATAAATCTGTCCCGCCTGTTTCAACTACAGGCGGCACAGGCGAGGATGTCAAAGCCAGCCAGGATCGGAAAAGCAAGACAGGCATTCATTAGCCTGAAACCAGTGTGGAGATCTTCTGCACTCAGCATGTGGAACAAGATCCGGATTTTCAACACCAACACCAGTCAAGTCAGTGCTTCTGTGTGATTGTCGAGAGACTTGGAGCGTTACGAAAGGGATTTCCAATAAACTACAGACATTCATCAACAACTGCTTAGGCTGGCCCGTTACTGAAGATCAGATGGATTGCCAGAATAGTTAGAATAAGCAACAAGGAGCTCTGGGAACGAACCAACCAAGAATCTATCACCCAACAAATATGCAGAAGGAAGTGGAAGTGGAGATGGATTGGGCATACACTGAGAAGGCCGACTGGGGAGATCACGCGTCAGGCCAGGTCCTCGAGTGGAATCCCCATGGGAAGCGACGAGTTGGACGTCCAAGGGTGACATGGAGGAGATCGTGCGAGGAGGAAATGAGAGCTTCTGGTCTGTCGTGGAACCAGGCTCAAAAGATCTCAGAGAACAGAGGTCAGTGGAGACGTGCTACTGAAGCTCTGTGTTCCACTAGGAACCCAAGGGACTAATAATAATAATAATAATAATAATAATAATAATAATAATAATAATAATAATAATAAATTCACTGAAATTACTGATTTGTGATAATGAACAATCAGGATAAAGATGTTAAGAAAGCTGCTAGAGTGAAGCAACAGTTATTATTCAATGAGTACTTGTCTTTCTCTTAATCTGTGATAAAAATTGTTTACAAAAAGGCCAATTGAAAGGTGTACTGTTTGCTTTGATGTCAGCAATTCAAAGAATCAAAATGAAGCTTGACCATTGTGTGTTAGACTTAGGGTGGATATTGTCGCGCGTTGGGCGTGTAAAACATACTACACTGGAGAAGAGCACAGCTGAGCAACCATGTACACATTTATACACCAGTCTGATTAGGTTCAACGTTTATTATACGACAGACATCATCTAACTGCTGAAATCTCAAAAATGAAAGTGAATTTTGGGACCAGAAATATAATAGTTGAAAGTTCATTCCTCACAACATTATAACTGTTCAGTAGGTGTCTATTGACTTTTCTATACCCAAAAAGAAAACACAGTTTAAACAGTTAATAATGATCCATAATGAATAAAATCTTAACCAGAAAACAAAAAAAATAATTCAAAGTATCATTCACCTTGGTCATCAATTAAAATATTTTCGGGTTTCAGATCACGATAAACAATATTTTGCATATGCATATGCTGTAAGCCTAAAGTGATCTCTGCAGCATAGAATCGAGATCTATTCTCGCTGAAACCACTAGTATTATTCATATTATGAATATGGAATTTCAGATCTCCTCCATTCATTATTGTAAGCACTAAACAAAGTGCATCTTTAGTTTCAAATGTATACGCTAAGTTAACCTGTAAATGTGATACCAAAAAATTAATAATAAAACAATAATATGTAAAAGTATAGGAAAAATAGCAGTTATAAGTTATATTTGGATCAATCTTAGCGTGTTTCATATAAGAAATTCCAATGCTTCGAGTTTCTTCAAAGAAATAATCAAAATTTACTTTAACATAGATATTGTTAGACCTCTGTTGACACATGGGTTCCTATGCAGATGCCTCGATATTGCCTGAATGTTAATTATTATAATTTGGCTTGGTTGTGGCTAGCAGGAGAATCTAGAAGGCGCGTTTCGTCCTATATGGGACTCGTTAGCTGGATTTACCTGCATCCCATTGAGTGGCGTTGTTCCCAATAAGACTTGAACTTTGAACCCATCACCTTGGCATTTGAAGTGGCGGGTACGAGGTTCGAGTCTCAATAGGAACAACATCACTAAATGGGGTGCAAGTTCCTTCAGATGACGAGTCCTAAATAGGGTGAAACGCGCTTTCTGGATTCTTCTGCTAGCCACAACCAAGCAAATTACATAAGTAACGCTGGGATTCGTCAAAATACAAGTCATGTCCCTTGTCATCTCTTCACCCGGTGCCCAATATTTGTAAAAGTATCCCATCAAATCTTGATCAGAATTCATATAAAATGATAAAGCGTTTTCGGTAATGCTGCTATTAGTAAGCTACAGAATGATGAAAGGTGTTCAATGAAGACCTGTTATTAAACACCTTTTTTAAGGCTGATGATATTATGAAACTGGACTCCATATAATCGATGATGAATCCGTCAGATGCTGTTTTTCTTACGTTACCCATAAACAAGTTTCTCAACTGAAACGCATTAGAAAGCATGTACATTAGAAAGACAGGAAAAGTATCATATTTTATAACATCTAACAATGAACACATAACTTAGTGGTGCATGTGTATTGATTAGTGTGCTCAGTCATCACTCATTCAATGCTTTAAAGTTGCTTAAATCAATTGCTAGATAAGGGAACTCAAGCATACTACTTCCCTCAGAAGTAACCTCTATAAAATGACTTAACTAAAAAAGAACAGATAGTCAACAATCTTTCAACATCTTAGTAATTCTATCTAATATTCAGTTGCATAACTTTGTCCATTCACTTCCATTTTTCTTTCCTGGTTTCTTAAAAGCCTCTACTTTTGTTATCTCATTTCTATTCATCTTGTCTTCTAATCTACTATGAAAATTTTCATGATACTGACGTCATCGATAACTTTAGATCGCCAACCTTTAGAAATTGTCTCCATCCGATTATACTAATATGAGTAGGCTAAATTCAAAAAAAAATAAACAAGTTTTATTCATTTCCATTCGACTTGATCATGAGGTTAATCTACCTCTTTTCCCAATAGTCATTTATCAAGTCAACTAAAGTATATAAACACTTTTTATCTTTTTTATTAGGATCGTTATTGGTCGGGTGAATCTCAAAGTTGAATTCATAATGTTGTGTTACAAATCTTGTGTTCACCTTTCTTCTCAAATTTATAAATGAGGAGAGTAATTTACCAAGATAATCATGCCAAATATTTTTGAAGAAGGAGTACTTTTGCAATCCGATTCTACTGCAATTACCATTCATGACGTAATCCTGCCAACCAACTTTTAAGGATATGGTGGCTGAAATAAAAACTAAATAGCTGATAACTGATGAAACTTGCTCAGTAACCACCTTCATATTCATCCACTAGGTGGTGAAATACATCCGCTGTGTGATAGTCTGTGATGCTACTTGCATGCATAAGCCTTGGTAGGCAGAACGAGGTTCGAACTCGCGACCTACTAGCTGACAGTCAAGTGTCTAGACCAATGCGCCTCAGTTATGCATTGTATATTGATCTTGGATAGTGTTTTGAATAAAAGGTTTACAACTACACAATTAAGAGGAGAATGATACAGCTCAGGGTATCTATCGAACGAACATTCATTCAAGTGACTGAGTCGAATACCTTTGAGTTGGTTGTACCAAAAAAATGTCAAGTATACAAACGGAATAGTAACAAATTTCAATGTCTGTAGAACCTAAGAACAGATATGCCACTTCTTTCCCAAGAGAATAAATATGATTTTCCTAAAAGATAAAAACGCTGGCATGGCGCAACTACTTTTCATTTGAAAGATATAGACGAAGAAAGTTTCATAATTCAGTAAAACTACTGCTACTACGGCTCATTGGTTCATGTGCTCAACCTTCAATCAGTTGGATGTGCGTTAGAAGCCCGTCCACTTACCAAGGTCTGAATAATGGTAGTATTATCAGCCAATACACAATATGTGCGGCTAATCGCCTTGTGTACAAAGCTGCACGGGAATGTTCAGTTACATTTCTTTTCGCATTCTTCAGGCGTTGGACCCCTTCATAGTTAACATTATTTTATCATATTTTTGCAGAGAAATAACCAACCTGAATTATAATATATTTGTATCACGTTATCTTTTGATTAAATAGGAGTAAAACGATAGATAAATTGGTCGACGATTCACACATACTTCCTCAGTACAATATGACTTTACATTCACTTGAGGTGTCTAACAGATGATTTGTCATCTGCTCTGTAAACTTGCTGCAGTTATGAACAGTTTGAACCTTAAACACCAAAGATCTGCTGAATATGATTCACAGTAATAAGTACTAGTAAATATGTCATTCATACAAACAGAAGTGGATAAAAGTCGAATTTGAGCACTCCTGTGTAGTGATTTCTTTAGACAATCGACACAACTGGCACCTCGGTAAACTGGTATGATGACAAAATTGAACTTATGAATGTGAAAATAATGGTCATTCATACATTACATACTATCACCCACAGAGAATTCAATAATATTACAAATATAACTTCGATTCTCAACTTCAGTTGCAGTGGTATGGTTCATACTTAAAACAACGATTCGTGATATCATTATGATTCATTTGCTCTTCTCTTAAATGCGGTTACCGATATGAATTAAGCGAAATTCAAAAATATGTTGATAGCTTCTGGTCTTAGGCATGAAAATCACACCCCAAGAAACTAAATATGGTGATTTAGTGTTCGCTGAGCTTTGATATTTTGTTGTGGACGTTTTATAACCGGGGTTTGATAACAACTTCAGCAATAACTTCAGAAAGCATCAGACTAGTATTATACTTACCCTGAGCAACAAATCTTTTCCGGTTCCTCAATAAAAAGCAAAATATTCGACAGTTTTTTAGTCCTATACTCTAACATATGTCTTATTAGCCTTCATTACTAAAAAGGTCAACAGTAAGCTTTAATGCACAGAAATATGTAGTATCATGGATGGCCAGAACTAGTTGGTATTCTACTGGTCTAAAAATTTCTGGCATTGGGTAAATTACACTGATTATTTTGGCATTCATCTTTCCTAATGACCGGTAAATAAAAGGAGGTCGCTTTCACCAGGGTTTCTCCATTTAGTGCTAGCACCTTTATCAAAGCAAGGGTAAGTTGGAATTTACAGTATCAAGGCTCAAATACGATTACTCAACCGAAGCCCTTTTGCAGAGACGATTGTGTGTTACCAAGTGACTGATGAGCGTATGTAGTATGATATGCATGTAAGTATATCTGTATGTCTCTTTCACCTACCTAGGCAGCATCGTTTCAACTACACGCAAAGGCGCACATGAGGATATCAAAGCCAGGATCAGCAAAGCAAGACAGGCCTTCATTAATCTGAAATCCGTGTGGAGATTTACTGCACTCAGAATAAAGCATGAACAAGATATGGATTTTCGACACTAATCGCAGTCAAGTCAGTGCTCCTATGTGATGGTTGAGAGACTTGGGGCATTACGAAAAGCATTTCCAACAAGCTGTACACATAAATCAACAGCTGCCGCCTACGCTCATTCCATACTGAACATCGATAAGATGGATGGCCAGAAAATACGAATAAGCAACAAGAAACTCACTGTGGCTGTCAACGAACCAACTGAGAACCCATTGCCCAACGAATATGCAGAAGAAAATGGAGATGGGTTGGATTGGACATACACTGAGAAGACCGATTGGGGACATCGGGTGCCAGGTCCTCAAGTGGAACCCAAATGGGAAACGACGAGTTGGGAGGCCGAGCTGATGGTGACATGGAGGAGATAGTGTGAGAAAGAAATGAAAGCTTCTGGGCAGTTGTGGAGCCAGATTGAAAAAACTGCAGAGAACAGAGTGAAATGGTGACGTGCTACTGAAGCCCTGTGTTTCACTAGGAACCCAAGGGACAAATAACAATAATGTCTGTATGCATGTGTGTTGAGTGTTTGAATTGAAAATTCAAGTTTGCGTATGCACATGTGGATAATAATGGTTGTTGCAAGTGTGTTGTTTACTGATTTCAGGTCGATATTTATTATGGACTGACATCAGTTGGAGAACCACTGAGAGCTCTAGACAGGTGTTTCGTTCTAGTATGGGAATCCCCAGTACTGCACACCTTTGACGGTGAGACGAACGAAGCGCCCTTAGCCACCTTGTGCATATCCCTGCAGTAGGCAATGATCCAAACCTATTGTGTGGGTGCTTGCCGCCCAAACCTCGGTAGGTAGAGCGAGACTCGAACCAATGGCCCAAAAGTTTATACCCATCTCCATAAACCACCAGGCAACTGCTCCGCTGCCAACGAGACCTTGCCAAGGATCGAACCCAGGACCTTCAGGTTCCACGACCAGCACATTATCAATGGGTCACTGGGTCAGCATCCAATCGTCCATAATTCCTACTTCTGTTAGTCCAAGACATGGTTGGTTAGTTTGCGGAATAATAAACAATACAACCATAAAAGTTAACTTCTGTCGAGTATGGACTAAAAGTGTGGATGAATTTTTGTCTAAACCAGTTACGCCTCATATATTTGACCTTATCCGTAAACTGTTTCAAGACTCTGAGATCAGTACCAAATGAGGAAGTACAAATCATTCATCATAAGATACCACATAACCTCATAACACCAAAAATGTAACTTTTAATATCACTAGATAAAAGTGTTAAGTGCTTGACTATTTGAATAAAGTCAACATATTGTAATAACAAAAGAATATGAAGAGGGCATAACAGCCATTATGAAAAGAATAGATAACAAGAAGACGACTGAACACCTATCCCAAAGACCACACTTATTAATTGGTGAAAAAGAAAAGTTTACAGAACTCAATACAAAGAAACTGAACACATAAAAATAGGAGCTTCACTTGATTTAAGTTCATCTGTAGCACTAAACCACCATATCCATAAAATGTATAGCTATGCAGCAAACTTGGTTTGCAAAGCAAAATAATAAAACACTAAATGAGACTGAGAAAGTAATGCGAAACGATGAACAGCAACAACAGTCCCCTCATTCATGTTACATACCTCAGATTATATGAGAAAATTTGTAAATACATTCAATAACAGAGTAATCTACAAAATGCAAACCATACATCACAGCGCCTTAGTCTCCATGAATGGTGAAATTTTGCAAACTAAACATGGAAATTGTGTTTATAAGATGGAATGCATGTGTTCTTTTATAAAACAGCATGATCTAAACAAATGCAACAACCGTTATTATCGCATGTGAATATTCAAATTTCAGTTTGTAAGTCAAACACTTAATACGTGTATATCATGCTACATACGCTCATCAACTACTTGACAACACACAATTATCTGTGTAAAAGAACTTCGATGGAGTTGTGGCATGTGAGCCTTGATACTATGAATTCCAAATTACCATTACTATGATTAAGCCGTTAGTTTTGAATAGAGAAATACCGGGGAAAGCAATCTTTTTTTCGTTTTCCAACCATTAAGTAATTGAAATTCCAAAATAAATATAACATCATGATCATAAGAAAATGAGTTACCAGCTAAAAATAAGATTAGAAGAATGGTCAGGCCCTTTTTAAACTAGTTTTTTCCAAATTTAAGATACTTGTTAGTAAATTATACACAGAACCGCTTGCAAAAATAAACAAACCACAAAGCGAGAATTGACTCTTTGTAGTGTCTCTTTCTCCATCATGGCCATATTTTCCGCATGACGCTTCTTCATGCGCTTCTTTTCCATCTTCTTGCAAGCGTACAACTTTCCAGTCGCTCGGACTTGGCAAGCGCATACTTCTCCGAAACCCCCTTTACCCAGAACACGATACATCCGGAAGGTGTGCTTTGTAACTGGAGTTCTGGAAATATAAATGACAGGTTGATAACTTAGCGTGGATATGTTATCGTTATTCAATTTTTCTTTCGAAAAATTTCATAAGAAAACCATAAAATGAGAGGGTTGGATACACTATCTACATAGTAACCTATCAAACGTTTTAACAGCATACGCGTATTAAATGTTAATCATGTGTCAAAACATAAGAAAAACTCACTTTATAAAAACACTTTCCGACCATATAAATTACATGAGATATTTAGGACAAGATTTACTGCAATTTATATATCACGATGCTCACTATGAAGGAGTAATGAAATTATATCTGCTTCAGATGTTGTAGAAGTGGCTTCTTATATATTAACAAGTTATTATTTGAGGTGGCTGTGTACAGTGGTATTTGCTATAGGTAAGTAATCTGAAGCCTTCACCTTGCAACAGATGTCCCCCAAGCAGAAACACGTTTTGCCTCTTCTCCCCTCAAATACTCACCTCATCTTCATACACTCGAACAATCTGCGGTACGTATACATAACTATACATAACTATGCTACGCGAATAAGTCAACAAAGTGATTGGTCATCTTAGTGATTTAAACGACAGTGTAACAATATTTAGGTGCACTTCATTTTTTCTAAATGCAGAATTCTACCCCATTTATAGGTTACAAAGATGTCAAATTTAACAGCAAGCGACCAACTCAGAGTGATGCTAGCCCTTATCGGCTAATAGTTTGCAAAATATTCTGAACACGTCAAAGGGTTTCATAAGTTTAGAAATTGAGCGCTGTGATAAAATTTAATTTCATATTAGGTATTTTACTTGACTCGATGAAAACCAATACAGTATTATTTACTTGGTAACGTTTCAACCACAACTTATTGCTCGTAATCATACCAAACTAATCACAGAACTCCGACATCCGTCACTTCATGTTTTATAATGGTAGTCAGATTTTCCACATCTTCAGCATAGACGTTGCGTCACTACTACTATATGTGCCGGGCGTAGATTCGATGAACAAAGGTTCATTAATTAACCCACCCAACTAGCTAGGTGTCAACACCTGGTTTACTAACCTTGCATGCTTTCTGAGAGGTCACTGGTTATAAAAACCCAAAAGTAATGCGGGAACAACAAAATAAAAGAACAATAGATGTCACAATCTTCACAATGCTTTAACCTACTGTTGTCGGTATAGCGTCACACACTCCACAATCTCTGACAGCTGATTTTTATCATTTGACTAAAGTTTACAGCTGCCGATTCCCAGCAGCATAAAAACTACCCTCCATCACTATTAAAGATCTTATGTTCCATTATCTTTACTGCGTTTTACTAACCGTATGTCATATGAAATCTTTCTTCGACGGTTTTCACCTAAAAATATCCCGAAAGATCTAGCGACTCTAGACTTCAGAGATTGTCCTCCTAGCCACCTTTCTCTCAGTGTTAACGTTTATCTTTCGTCATCATAAAAGACACCACAAGCGAAGATTCTTTCACTCTTATTCAGTAACACTTAGTATTCCAAGCATACAAAGCCAGTTATGATTATAACATTGGTGACCAGATATCAAACGACAAGTGAAGGTCGAACAGACGATAACTAAAATTTGTGTTAAATTTTTCACTAATCCAACTACAGCCGTGAACATCATAGAGAGAAGTCCCCTTGAGATGACTAGTGCGACTTAGTTAGACAGATAATAGTATTATTTACTGAAGATACTGAGAAACAAAATTCCAGAAAAACCAGGTATGCTTTAAGTTCAAGGAACAGTTGTCAAGCTGATTAACTACCGAAATTTCAAGGCCAATGTATTTACTGAAGAATAGCAGTGAATATAATTCTTGATCTGGAAGCGAGCAATCCTGCAACTTTGTTGAGAAAGTAAGGTTATCCTACAATTTAGAGATGTAGTGCGAAAGGCTGTCACCTTACCTGGTGACAACAAACGTCTATTGATTATACTCAATGAATCTAGGTTTGTTCAGCTATACGAAATAAGACCTTTTCTTTCTTCACTTGACTCCTAACGAAATAAGGTTTTACCAAGACAGTCTAGTTAACTTACGGTACGCTTTAACAGTAACCTATTTGCAGACACTATGAATTTCAGGCATAAAATGAGACACTGTCTGATGGGGTACCCACCGAACTCAACTCAACAGTGGGGACAGACAGACCATACTACCATCAAATATTGCCGGAGGGTCAGTGGTAGATTGCCTCTTCTTACAGAACCCGTGTTTGGATAAAAACCACACTTTGGTTTAAGTACATATCTGTCCGCGCCCATATGGACGTAGAAAAACTATAGCAACAAGACTACCACAAGTCCAGCTGGAAAATGCGAATACTAAAGCTACTTTTACCGAAAAATTGGTTGGACAGTTATCAGAACAGAACAAAACTAATCCACAAGTCTGGTACCACCCCCGGTCTACTGTAAAAGTGGCATTAAAGACAGTAGTGAACTCTCGGGAAGAGGTTGGAAAGTGTCAACAGATCTCGGCACCTCCTTCTGAATTAATGATTCCATGTGGACACAGTCCTGCAGGCTCCGAGTACAACGAAAAGCAGAAGCAACTGAAATTTAAACTGACAAAAGGTTTATGTAGCGGACACGAACAGTGGTAGGCACCGAAAACTAAAAAACTGGAAAATGTGGTGACTATGGTTAACAACAGAGTTATTTAAACCGATTCAGGAGACGGAAGTGAGAAGTTAGCGCTAGGGATGTCATCAAGTCTGGTGATGAAACGTTCATGACAGAATACCACAGCTCAGAGAACACTGAACCATCATGAATAATTTCCAGCTGCCCAAGTTGTTTTCACTAGACAGAACACGAAAGTAACAACATTCAATACATGGAGAAACAAGTTCAGCGCGAATACTAAGTGCGGCATTAAACATGGTAACGATAAAGTTCACACCAAAATAATGTGCTTATCTACTGCATTTTTACTCATTAGAAGGGAACCATCCATGTCTGCAGAACTATACGCCCGCAAGAATACATCTCACATCAATGACTAACTTCATTTGGTAAAAACCACTCCAGAACTAACATATCTAGTAGCATTCCAGGTAGACTACATTCACAGGTGAAACTACCTAAAAATGGAACATGAGTGATGAGTTTGGCATAATAAATAAGTAAAATGACATGAAATGCTTATCAAAAAGATGCTTAGGTAAGTACAAAATCCTTCTATTTTCAAGGATAAAATAATATCTAGTGATAAAAATGACATACTTTTCTAACCATTTCCACTGCAGATATCGATGGAAGTAGACTGAATTTAGAAATTCTAAGAATGGAGAGTTTCGTAGGAAGCTTTCGAGAATTCTGAATACGATAATAATTTTACAAAAAACGAACCTGAGGATAACACAAAAGAGTTCTTTGTCTGGATATTCTTCAGCCGCTTCTAAAGATCTTAAAATCTCACCACTTTTAAGGTCTCCAAGTTGATGAAAGCTTTTCCCGCTCTGAGAAGAATCAAAAAGTGAAAATGGATATTACATCGTCTGAAAGGAATCGCTGGTATATTTCTAAGCCAACTATGCGACGTTCGCTTGGAATACAAACTGCATACGTATTCTAAGGATGAGAAAGTGAAGTGCCAATTCTTAACATACAATAGAATCAAGGAAATCAACAGCATCTGAGAGGAAGTTATCACTCCTACAAAACAGCCAGAACAGCTTTTTTCCGATTGGCTGCCGCTCCACGATGCAATCATAACTTAAGTCTGAAGAAAGTGAAAGATATTTGACTTGTGATATAACTACCTAAGTATTTCTTTAAATGTAAACACTCAGAAATGTGAGGAAAAGCCAGTATTGCTTTCCATTTTCGACTTCGACCCTTGTCCCTATCTGCTCCGCCTTATCAAACGTTTATTTTATTTATATTTCCTACTCTTTTTTGCTTTTATATACACTGTGTTAGCTACGATATTCTCTAACTCCATACTTCATCATAGGGAAACACAGTAACGCATTGTTTGAAAGTGATGCGTTTTTACAATGTCCAATAATGTTTATCTACCTACAAAAACTTCACGAAAGTAAGTATAAAGTGTTCAGTTAGTTTTCCCTTGTTTAAGGACTTATATGTCTCATTTAAAGTAAAATGTAAGACAGTGAACCCATGCAGAATTAAGGTGAAATAAAATATTTTGAGAATAATCTATGAAATACAAATCGTGACCAATCAGAATCCACCAAGCCAAAGCATACTGTTTCAATACGCTGGATCTGTTAATGAGCTTGACTTTCAGTAGATTGGTGCTCACAAACTTCACCATATGCTACCTGCTCAGGCATATATATGTATCTCACAGATATAGTGACGCTTTATTCGCTGACCTAATTACAGGAGCAATATACCGTAATTTTCTAAGGATAAGAAAACAACTACCTGTCGTCTCCTGTTGGTATGTCTGAAAAAACCTCAGATAGTGCCGGTCAGAATTAAGAACCTACTGGCATCTCCAGTAGCAAACTTCTTCCGATGGAGTGACCCCCTGTTTTATCAACTTACTCTGGAGTGCCATCCTAAATGAAAGACAGCTAATAAAGTTGCTGATCGACGTCGATTCCAACGTTGCACTGAAACTCAACCCAAGCTGATTGCACCTGACATATGAGACACAGTCTAGTAGTGCCCGGACAAAATTTTATCAAAACGAAAATAATAAAAGCATACGAAAAGCAGTTGAAAATGACATCAGTAGGATAGCCTGAACAATGCTTTTAAACTGACACGTCCTGTAGGCAAAAATGATGCGGAAAAACGATTGAAAAGGGTTGATTGTCAGAAACAATGTTTCCATAGGCAAAAAAGGTTAAGTATTTCCAGACAAACTAATATCTTAGCTTGATCTCAAATATTATGGAGAACCGACCCTGAAATTTAACGTGTTTAGCACTACGCAGAGCTTAGTGATATATCTTCACCTCCGATGGATCATCGAGACGTTTGAATACCTACTGCACTGTCTTCTACCGGTTTGCCATTCTGAGGAGAAACGACATTTCGTAAGATGGGACTACCTTCCAAGTGGGATGGCTCCAAGCAGTCGTTTCCGACATTATCCCCATGTCCCTTTTGACTGGTGACATAAAATCTTTCCCATTGTTTGATGGATTTGAATGATCTGTCATAAGGCAGTTCAAGTGATCAATTAACAGCATTGCAATGAGCAGTACCCCGTGATACCTCTCGTAAAAAGCGTGAGCAGGGACATCAGCAGCTTTAGTTGGGAGAGCGACGGAGCCAGTCGAAAAATAGCTCGTATCTTAGCCAGTCGCGTAAGACGGCCTATCAATAACAGAAGAAAATCTGAGGGTGAAGCTGACTACGATGAAGGGCAAATACTGGCCCGGTACCAAGTTCAACTGTCAGCTGTTCTTGCGTTTTGGACAGCCAGCTGGGTTAAGGGGGTCACTTCAACCGCCTTGGGCATGCCTACCGCTGTCCATTGAAACGGTCTATCATACCGTTCCCTGGTGAATGATGACGTGCCATTTAGCCCTGGGTATGGTTAGGGCAGGAAATAATCCGCATTCTAAGCACTGCAAAACGTCGGTTGCTATGCGGAACGGATATCCAAATTTTCCGGTCTAACTACCCCCAAAAGGAACAGGAATGGTTTCAGAAGTCTCTTTAGACTATCCCCGCATTCTCTAACTGCCCGAAACAGTGCTGGAACTTTTTCGCATCCTGACTTCACACCTGACTCCTTAATAACCTGACAAACACTCCAATTGTAGATAACTACTCATCCCAAGCGTCACTGGATAGTCCACAGCTCATAATAGCAATAATGTTTACTCCAAGATACACTGGTATGGGCTACTTAAGCAGGCATGCCTAAATATCTATGTAAATTGAATGTTTATGGCAGGTAACATCAATCCTCAACTATTCAGTCACCCGGAGATGTAAACGTTGCACGTTAATAAGATGATGATCATCAGAATGAGTTGTGGACACGGCAGCCTGCCTGAACCTGGGTCCACCAGGTCTATCCAATGAACATTTTTCGTCAAATCCTTTCCTTTCAATTCGTTTTAATCATTTGAATATATCCTTTGACTGTATCATGCACTCTGGCAAGTTTTCAAACCGCTTTCGACTCTCCGTCACTGGAGTCAATAACAGAGCGGAGAAAAAATATTACGTTATATGGAAACGGGCTCTTCGGTGCACAAAAACACATCATAATTCTATCCGTCAGATGCTTAGCTTGAGTCGTAGATGTTTGTACCGTCTGAATGAGCCATTACCATCAAAATCGGGCTTAGATTTCTGTTGATCCTTCATTATGAACCAGATGCCCATCAAGAGCCAGCTGGCTATTTCACAATATTGCCTTGAACACCATTATTGTTAACATCATTCCGATGCAATGACCGATTCGTTTGACAGTGTTGTTTTGAGAGCGAATTTGTTGAAAAATTACATGCTGAGAATTTCACACTATCATACAAATTGTTTGGAATAATGCGACCATTATTATTATTATTATTGTGTGAGTCCATCTAGTGGGTGTCAAGTATACCACGTCTGCCATCTCGGCCCTTCGTAACAACCCCATGATTAATGCTCAGTTAGGCTGCAAGCTATTACCAGGTTTCAGTATTCTTGTTATCGGTCACCGCAGGTAGCGTGAAGATATGCATTTTCTGTGTTCCAAATGCATGTTCGACCTGCTCGACGATTTCCTAAAATGCCGTGTTTCATAATTTTCACTTAAGTAGACGCACTCCCAAGTACCAAGTGAAATTTGGGCACAATGATCTATCAAAAACAGCGCTAACAGATCAAAGTGAGCCAAATTAGGCCTCAAATTGCAGCTAAATGGGTTTCCGACTTCCTTTTTCACTCCATGTTAAATCGCAACTGACTGCTCATAAAATCATGTACGAAATCAAAAGACAAATGATAGATCAATAGGTTCGTCAGTACGGTCAGCGTCAAATGTTTACCAATGACGTGGCGCTCTGCTAATAAGTAGAAATCATCGTTGCAGAGAAGACAGCAAATTTTTTCTGCAGGACGTCGTCAACAACGTAGAACGAAGTGGGGGATCTTTATGATGCGGATTATATGAGCATCATGGGTTGCTGCAGGTCCTTAAAAAAAAGTAATTGGGCCGGTTTCAAGTACGCTGCCTTCAATCCTTCTTAAGATTTACACATGAGCTTAAATTTAGTAGGAAGTAGCCGTTCGGCTCATCCGAACAACCAGACGAGGTTGATCGCCGGGGTAATAATAATAATAAATTAGTCCTGAATCTATATGTGCATATCATTTTTACAGGTGAAGTGACAGAAGACGAATGATGTCAGTGAACGTGTGCATTGGAAACCTCATTCGTGAAGTAAAGATTGGTTTATGCTTAATTAACGTATGGGTATATTTTAAGCAGTTTGTTTTCCTCCTAAATTTTGACAAAGCAACAAGAAGATGTAATTTGTCTGAATCGTGTAATGTTTTCTAGCAGAACATTTCAAACAATCAGGTCAAACACCTGTCAGTTATGTGGAAAATTATATGGTTAAGGGGTAGGAAAATAATCATCGGTCAAGTGAGAAGTTTATATTGAGAGTCAAAATAACAATGGAGACCAACAGGACAACAATAATAACAACAATTTCAAAGGCACAATAACTTCAGGTCTAAAGCCAAATTTACCAAGGAAAGTTCAATATGACGACAAGCCATTTATGAATGCATAAAATTGTCCTAAACCCCCTGATGACCAGTGTGTCAACAAACTTTGGAATATGTTTCCAACAGGCCTCATAGATTTGTGTAAATGAAGTTTGTGCATCCGCCTCATGCCCCATTTCCACGACATATTCAGATGTCGAGCAGCTCGGACGTTTGTTTTTAGCATCGGTCGAAACAGGTGACTCTATCAGCTTCTGAAGCCACTTTGAAATATATTCTGTTGCCTTTTTTCTCGATGACTGATGAGTCTTCTACACATGTTTAACCACACGTACTTTTAGATCGATAGATACAACGAGATGTGAATTGATTTTTTATCTGTTCATCTGAACCCATGGTAAATGTAGCATCAAAATTTTTGTTGTTGATCTGTTGATCTTCATTGTTATTTTGACCCCTGATATAAACTTCTCATTTGACCAATGATTATTGGCCTACTCCCCAACCATATAATTTTCCACATAAATGACAGGTGTCTAACCGCACTGTTCGGAATCTTTTGTGCGAATACATTACATGATCCAGCCGGCTTACTTCTCCTTGCTGCTTTGTCAAGATATCTGATGGTATAATAGATTTTGCCATTGTGTTGCAGTGAAAATGCGAAACAGGTGCAAGTAAACGGTTTGGCAACCTTAGGTTACGCTTCTTTGATATTTTATGGGTAGTGACATAAGTTGGTGCCTACGCAGGGTCCGTTTTGATGATCACGCCCATGCAAGTGGCACGTCATTGCAGTTACACGTGGTTTAGCTCGGTCGCCACGGCATCCTGCTAACCTAAGGCGCACAACGTTAACTTACAGAAATATTTAACCTTGATAAAGCGGGATGCGTATTGCATTCTACAGGCACCGTTTGTGTTGGGTTCGACGGTCAAGCAGCACACTACCCAGAGGCTAAGCAGCTTATTCAGAGGTGACGTGGATACGGTAAATTGGTGGTGTTATGTCGTGTAATTCAGCACCCCATTAAAAGTTCGTGAGCTCTACTTGCTGCCGTAATTGACGCCATATGCTCAAACAAATATTTTCAATTCTTCATGCAGGTTCTCCAATTAATCTACGTCCCTGGGAAAAAATAAATATTACACGCTAAAAGGGAGATGCAGTGTCCTCGTCTACAAATCAAGGGATATATTGATGAAGTACCTCGGTAAAATGTAAGTTCAAAAATGAAGCAACTATATGCAGCCAGAAGCTGCGCACGCGCCAGTTTCATTTGGAACATCGTCTCTATTTACCTGTCATAATTCCATCTTCTTAGGTGATC